TCATTGAAATGATTTAATTTATTGTAAATCAATGGCAATGAGTGATTTTCATTAGAAGTGTCTCTCAATTTATGACTGTAATAAATGACTGGAAATATGCTTTTATGAAAATTGTATAAATTATGTGCACCAGTAAAAGTAAAAATTATTTGAGCACTTAACATTATCATTATTATTATTATTGACATTTATTAATATATATTTTTTAATGATGCATAAAAGTGTCAATAGTTTTAAACACTTTTACATATGTATGAGTCAGCATAATCTTTAATCTTACGTATATGTATGTATATATATGTATATATATATATATAGGCTTCATATTGACTTTATAACATACATAATCTTTCTCAATTTCGGAAAGGATTCTTTCTTGTACTATTATGTACACTGCAAAAGTATTGCATGTACGTATCTCCTTCACATAAAATCTGTGAGTAAATGTGTGACACCCTCAACAATATTCTGGCACATTCAGACAACCTTTCAATTTCCAGATCTATTGACTAAAGGCAACACTGTTTGAAAGACCAGCAGGCTTTCATTTTGCTGCAGGTCAGAGAGTTGAGGGGCACCAAAAGTTTGCTTGTGCATTAATGCACAAGATCATGAATTATAAAGAGCTGGCAGTTGGGGTCAGAGGTATAGCATAACACATTTAAAGTGTGATAAGAGTGCGTGGTTGAGAGAGTATATACGTTTGACAAGTAGGAGTATATATATTTCTGTTTTGTGATTGTGTAGAAGGACACTCACCACTCATTGGACTGTAAGGAGGGAGAGTCGTTTTGGGCGATGTGGTATAAGGCACTCATAGCGTTCATGTTGAAGAGAGGAGGCTTGCGTTCAGCTAGAAAACAGCAGAGGTGTAAAAACTAAAAAAATCATCAAATGTGCTGAAATTCTCAAACTGAAAATTTGTGACATTACATAGATTGTGAATACATGCATATGCATATGTACATATGCAAGTTATTTCAAACATGTCAATATTTAGACTAAATCCCAGTTTGCCTTTTATAGCATGCAATGTTAGGAGCAGTGCACTCTTAAAAATAAAGTTTCTCTATTGACATTGATGGTTCCATGACAAAACTTTAACATCCATGGAACATTTGCATTGCACCAAAGGGTCTTTATAATGGAAAAAAGGTTTCACAGATAATTAAGATAATAAGAAACAAGAAAAAATGGTTCTTTTAAGAACCGTTCATCGAAAGGTTCTTAGAGGAACCAAATATGGTTCTCCTATGTGGCATTGTTGCGAAAACCCGCTTTTGGAACCTTTATTTTTAAGAGGGTGTGTTTAAAACCACAGTTTTGAAAACGGAATGTCATCTGAGTAATATGCTATTTCCATATTACACATATTACAAGTATGTACTGATCAAGGAAGTACATGACAGTTCTCTAATGCGACAAAAATAAAAATTGATGAAGTTGTATAATCTGTGTATCCTTCGATCATTCGTTTTTTTATTTAATATTGAAAGTAGAAAAATGAGAAAACGGCTCCTTTTTCGTTTTTTTCCAAAAAACAGAAAATGAGAATTCAGCTTAAATTTTCGTTTTTCGTTCATGGGTGGAAAAATGAATAAACAGCTTGAATATTCGATTTATACATGTGGGCGGGAATTAAACGCCCCTTTCTGCTGATTGGTCAGCCGAAGATTAAATCGTGCCATCATCAGTTCTTCTGCAGTATCACGCAGCAGAATAATAGTCCTCCACTGCTGCAGTATATTTTTATTTTTATATTTCAGTATATATTTTATTTATATATAAATAAAAAAAAACGAATGATCGAATGATACACGGATTTTGTATGTCCCAATACTGGGATATTAGTTCGCTGCAAAGTGCACACTTTGCCAATGCAGTGCACACTTGAAATTTTTCTTTTCACATCAAAACAATAAAACGATGTAAGAGTTATAACATCTATCCACTACAATAGTAGCTAATGGTAATAATAATTCCTCAAATTTCATCCACTATGTTTAATTAATGTTGTAATAAATACAATATACAAATGATATATAAAGAGAACAGTCATATAGACATGAGTAAAGTGTAGACAAAATATCACAGACAAAAAATGGCCCATTCTCCATTGTCAATAGTGTAGCGATGTATGGTACACCGCTCATACAGAAGTCACCTTCAAGTCACTTTTGGCGAATTCATGGGACCAACTTGAACATTTGCATGGGGAACAATTTTGCACAAAACTCCCCATCACACAGATTCCTATTGAAATGAATGGAATTCGCCTATGATATTTCACATAGCAACAGTAAATATGACGCTCCTTAAGGGCCAAAGGTCATCAGCTATAGTGGTTTTAGTGTAACAACACAAAATGGCTTCTAAACTTCTGCTTATTTTAGTGGACACAATGCCTCAGAACATTAGAAAAAAAGGTACATAGATGAAATAAGTTCAAAAACATGTAGACACTCACCCAGCTCTATGCAAGTGATCCCCAGAGACCAGACGTCCACCTTCCCCTCATACTGACCCTCATCCATGGCTAAAATCACTTCTGGAGCCATCCTGTGTTAGAAACACACACAATTGTCTAATTAACACCGGTGTATCAGGACACATTATCTTCCTGAACATCAATATCTGCGGTACTGACCAGTACGGGGTTCCCACAAAGGAGTTGGCAGGAGAGGCAATGGAAGCGGAGCCAAAATCAGCCAGTTTGACCTGACCGGACTCTGTCAGCAGGATATTACCAGCCTTCACGTCTCTAAACAAAATCACAGATAAAGAGAAAGTTGAAGTCAGACAGTATAGACCTACAGTAGTGTCACAATTCCATATTATGCAATGGCAGGGTGAAAAAATAAAATAAAATGAATGACAATGACAATGACATTTAAAAATCTGTTCCAGATGTATACCACATTATTATTATTTATAGTTTTTTTTTTCTTAGTCTTATTTAAATGTTCTCTCTGTTCTCATGTCATGTATGTATGTATGTACCAAGAGCTCCTAAAAAACAACAAATTCCTTGTTTGCATACACTTGGCAAATAAAGAGTGAAAATGACAGTAAAAATAGTATTGGGTTACTGGAAGCTAATAAAACATAAGAACTCATACGTTGTAAAAAAAACTTGGTCAATGGTCAATAAATGGTATGCTGACATATGCGATCCTGCTGATATATATAGTATGTCATGGATTGGTACTTTAATTATAACGGTTTAGTATTTTGAACCCTGAAACCAAAGAGTACACACTCTGAATCTGAAAAAAAAAAAAAAATTCTGTTTTGATATTTAAAGCAGCCTTTGATATTTAATATAATTGGTCTAGTCAGACCAGTGCTGGCAGAAAAAAGAAAGTATATTTGTTTATTGCATTGCCATACCAGCATCTATGGCTATTTTCATGGCAAGATCAATGTATTTTAAAAGAAACAAATAGTAGTAGCACAGTAGTAATGAAAAACATTCATTGGCAACCAACATCAATATTAGGGATGCAGGATATTATCGGACCGTTATCGGATTGAAAAAAAATTATTCTATGCCTTGCTGATAAGATGAATAGCTCACATGTGCTCAGGGTGTGCTAGCGCTAAGATCATGTCAGCAGTGTGGCCATTCTTGAAGCAAACTTTTAACTGAATGGTGATTAGATTGACTGTTTTGGATTGCCGCATTTAATATGAGAAAGTAAGTACAGAATGACCCATGCAGCAGAGCGTGCAGCAGCAGCTACAGCCTCCCCCAGGTCCTAATGCCCATTTCTGTAAGGTCTTTTATTTATTTAGGGGGTGCCATAGACCTAACTACTTGTAATAAAATGAAAAGTAAAATACACAAATAAGATTAAGATACTTGTGTTTCTATATAAATAAAGCAGTAACTGATGTTATAAAAACACAAGTCTGTTTTGATTTGGGGGGGGGGTACAATGCTGTTTCATGCATTCAGAGTTGGATTCTCGTGCTAAGCATGGACAAAGTTTAAAAAAACAATTTGGACGTATGACAGAGTATTTCTGTGCCAAAAATCTTACTTCCGGGTTCGTACACGTTTCGGAGAGTTTTTTTCCCATCATGGCTCTTAATGACGTAAACGAGGGTGAAAATTTTAGCCCCCCCAAAATTTCTACTCAGCCCCCCTAAAAATTTTGTGATTAGCTCCATAAACTGTACACGAATTCATGATCGCCTCAGTGCCCTTTTAATTTCATATGAAAACAGCGGCAGACTTCGGCTCCTCCCCGTCTTTCAGTGCGTTCTTTAATCCGCTGACCGCGGCGGTGCAGAGCGAGAAACAGAGGACAGGGTGTGAGTTTATCGATAGATTGTTATAATATCTGCATCTGTGCAGTTCTTTGTCATAAATGCAGTTTACAAAATGTCATGGGGGAGCAATCGGTTTTCCATCTACTGTAAAGTTTTCGCTCCGTTCACCCCTCATCACACCACAGTTTCCTCCAGCGAAAATGTAACGTTAGCCCTTAACACACGAACGCATACTTTATAAAATGTTGCTATTTTCATTTGAAAATTGAACTTTCAATATAAAACATATCACAGTGCATGTGGCATTAACTACCATACAGTCATGCACAGAAATGATTGAAGACAGTGACAGACAGTACTTGAGCATAGGAAGAGGAAGACCGAGGTAATTGTTTTCGGTCCAAATGGTAACTCTCAGTGTATAAGCCCTGAGTTAGAAAGTCTATCTGTTTTTAGATCCTCGCGGGTGCGGAACCAAGGTATTCTAGTCGACCAGAATTTAAAATTTGATAAACATATCTCTTCTGTCATTGGGTCCAGTTTCTATCAGCTTCGTTTACTGTCTAAAATTAAACACTTTCTCACTCCAAAAACTTTAGAAATGGCTGTTCATGCGTTCGTTACGTCTCGTCTAGATTACTGCAATTCTTTATATTGCGGTATATCTAAATCTCAAATTGCGCGTCTTCAGCTTGTCCAAAATGCTGCGGCCAGACTTCTTTTAAAGTGTCGTAAACATGAACACATCACTCCAATTCTTAGATCTCTACACTGGTTGCCGGTTTGTCAGAGAATAGACTTTAAAATTCTCCTCTTTGTATATAAATCCCTACATAACCAAGCTCCTGTCTATCTATCTGACCTTCTTTACTTCTATACTCCGTCTAGAAGCCTACGATCCTGTGACCAGGCCTTGTTGGTGGTCCCTCACGTTAGGCTTAAGCGTAGAGGGGAGCGTGCATTTGCGGTGGCAGGGCCACGACTCTGGAATACCCTACCTTTAGAGATTAGAATGGCCCCTTCTTTGTCTGTTTTTAAGTCCTTGCTAAAAACTTATTTGTTTTCCTTAGTGTATTGACTACTGTGATATGGTAATTTTTAAATGTGCGGTTTTAAATTTTTGTCTGGTTTGTTGTCTGTGTATGTGGTAAAATTGTTGCTCTTCTGGAAAGCACTTTGGTCAGCCTGGTGGCTGTTGTATATGTGCTCTACAAATAAAATGAACTTGAACTTGAAGAGGTTTGTTTAGAAATGCAAACAGTAAAATTGTGTGTGTGTGTGTGTGTTTGTGATAAGGAAGACTGATCTTCAAGTATTTGGCTTATTCAGTACTCAAATGTTATACCCATCTAACGTATGCAATACAGTGGAATACTGCAATAGGTTTAGTATACCACCCTAACCTAATGGTCAAACGTTATTTAAAAAAAAAATTTTTACTTTCATTTGAAAATTGAACTTTCAATATAAAACATATTACAGTGCATGTGGCATTAACTACCATACAGTCATGCACAGAAATGATTGAAGACAGTGACAGACAGTACTTGAGCATAGGAAGAGGAAGACCGAGGTAATTGTTTTCGGTCCAAATGGTAACTCTCAGTGTATAAGCCCTGAGTTAGAAAGTCTATCTGTTTTTAGATCCTCGCGGGTGCGGAACCAAGGTATTCTAGTCGACCAGAATTTAAAATTTGATAAACATATCTCTTCTGTCATTGGGTCCAGTTTCTATCAGCTTCCCCCCCCCCCCCCAAAAAAATGAAAATCCTAGAATTGCCCCAGATTGAGAGAACTGTGAGTGAGGGCACGGGCGCACCGTGTTGCCAGATCCAGTAATTATAAGCATCTTTGGACTTATCTTTTCTACTTTTAGAAATTTAATAGAGCGGGAAGTTGCAGTTTAGTAATAGGGCTATGTATTGTTGAATGAATAATAAACAACTGATAAAATTGTCTTAATATAGGGAGATACGAGGGTCTGTATTACTTACTATTGGAGAAAGCGTAACGGTCAACTTGGATCACATGGGCCTTAATAATCACAGTACAGCCTTGACGTCATTGAATTTCAGTCAGAGTTGTGCAGAGTTGACGCTCAATCGCTGTTTACGGATACCAAAGGAATGAATGAGAAGTGCCGTAAGCTGTATCCCACCTGTCGCAAAAAGTCAGTGACTTCTCGTATAAAACGCCATTTTTTTTCGGTGTAAACTCTAAAAATATTCCAATCCAAGAGTATTGCTTAGTGTAAAACCTATTGGAGATTAGCTGATGGGCTGTCGATTCATTAAATTATAAGCTGTTTCCTCTAAAAAGCTGTTTATTCAGCGTAGTGAAGCCTCTCCTCCATTGACATCCATTAAAAAAAACGGCCTCTGGTCTCCTTTCCCATGTACTGGCAAACCGGAAGCGTTAGCAGGCCTGCCTTCTAGTGGCTTTGGCCCAGCAGAGTTTAGATTCAACCCTAATTAAACACTCCTGATCCAACTAATCAAATCCTTCAGGCTTATTTGAAACTATGACTATGTTTACATGGACATCAGTAATCTAATCATTTACCTTATTCTAAATAAGCCAATATTATGATTATGGTGTTTACATGAGTTGCTTTTAGAATATTCCTTTCATGTTCCCGTTTTACATGTTATAGTACATAGTTCGATTAATGGCACACGTCATTACGTCCCCACGTGACACCATCCGACATCCCCTCCGGAATTTCACGTATAAACATATAGTTCGTCTTCGTGATGATGCCATGTACAGTTTTGTGTGTTTCATTTTTAATTGTATGAAAGCTTCAAGTGCAGTTAATTATTTGTACGTGCATACAGACGACACGGTTGACCACTGCCGTGTGTGTATCCTGTCGCAAAATTCAGCGAAAAGTCCTACAGCACTATGGCTGCCGTCGCATCATCCAGGTGGATGCTGCACACTGGTGGTGGATGAGGAGATACCCCCTGACAATGTAAAGCGCTTTGAGTGCCTAGAAAAGTGCTATATAAATGTAATGAATTAATTATAATTAATTAATTAAATTATTCTGCACTTCAGTAATGCGACTAAAATAGGAATACTCCACATGGTCTTAATTCGATTTCTGTTTACTTCGATTATGACTTTAGCCGGATTAAGGTAATCAAAAATCTCTGTTTACATGGTAGATTCTTAATCAGAGTATTGTCTTAATCGTATTAAAATCAGAGTATTGTTGTCCATGTAAACGTACTCTATGTATGCGTGTAGGAGCAAGGTTGGAACAAAACTTGGCAGGGCTCCTTCCCTCCAGGAATTGAGTTTGACACCCCTGCTTTAGACCATCTATTAATGTTAAATCCACAAATAAAATGTTAGTTTTCATCTGCATGTCAAAAAAACAACAACAACAAAAAACAGCAGAGATTGATTTTATTATAGTTATTTTCAAAGCTTTCAATGTACTCTCATTAAAAAAAAAGAACTTTAATAATGTTTATTAGTTATAACAAATGAGTTTTTGCTCATTTAAGTAGAGACATTTCTGAATAAAACCATCTCCTAGTGGACATACACTCTTAAAAATAAAGGTGCTTCAAAAGGTTCTTCAAGCGATGCCATAGAAGAACCATTTTTGGTTCCACAGAGAACCATTCAGTCAAAGGTTCTTTAAAGAACCACCTCTTTCTTACCTTTTTATAATCTGAAGAACCTTCTTTCGCCACAAAGAACCTTTTGTCAAACAGAAAGGTTCTTCAGATGTTAAAGGTTCCTTATGGAACCATTTAGACAAAAAGGTTCTTCTATGGCATCGTGAAGCACCTTTATTTTTAAGAGTGTAAAGCAGTACATTCCAACAACATATTCTTTATAGACACAAAAATAGCATTGCTTTATGGTAAGCATATAAACATAAAAATCCAAGTTGTAAAGCGATTTGCTTAGTAAACAGATAATCAGATAAAGATTTATCTGTCATTTGCGCACACTGAGGAAGCTGATAATGTATAAATAGATATCAGTCAGAGGACGACTCACCTGTGGATCATGTTATGGGAATGTAGGTAAGCCAGTCCTAGCAAGGCACCATGTGTAATGGCAGCAATTTCAACAAAAAAAAAAAAAAAAAAAAAAAAAAAAAAAGTGTCAAAAAGAGTCATCCGATGCTTAGCAAACTGACACTACACCTTTTAGGTACCTGATCCTTTTATAGATAAGGACTGAGAACTGGATTAGAACATGGCCTTGAATTAAACAGATTCAGACTAAATTACTCATACAATGACATTATGCCAAAGTTAAACTGGAATTTCTAAATTCCTCTTGCACACACACACACACACACACACACACACACACACACACACACACACACACACACACACACACATATATATGAAGCAATAACTGAAACCAACAGTCTATCATTATAGCTGTGCATGTTGCCATGACAGCATCTGAAGGAAACAAAAACATGAACGCAATGGCAGTTTGGTAGTGCCACTGGAATAAAACACAATGGGCTTTATAATGTGGCTAAGATGTGGCTAATAAAGGCCTTCAGCGCTGACTAAAAAACACATGACAGATCCAACAATTACTGTTCCTCTATGTGAATGCATACAGTGCTTACTGTGGGTGTGTGTCTGCACTGTACTTGCATACTTGAGAGTGTGCATAGTGTGCCTGTGTGTGCATTTCAAGTGTGAACTCACCCTCTAACAAGTCTGAAGCAGAGCCAAGACAATACTCCATCACAAGCTGAATGAAAAAAGGCAGACGAGAATGAGAATATTGTGAAAAGGAGGCATGGTTGCCCCAGGGAATTCTGGGAATGAACTCAATGTAAACCAGGTAGTTCTTACAGCAGTTCCCTCGGTTCACAAATGCATTACTGTATTTATATCCCTCTTAATGGCAGTACTAACCCATGCTGTGTTGTCCTTCAAGTAGCAGCCTTTGTATTCAATGGTGTTTGGATGTCGTAGCTGTTCCAAAAATTTGACCTCTTTAATGATGTCCTGCCATTTCTGAACAGAGGAACCCAAAGAAACACAATTTTGAACATCAGTATTCTACAGATACCAACAGCTAAAGAGCAGAATGGTTATATAAAGTCAATATGTATATGGATATTGGCTAATATAATGTAATTACAGCAACTGAGATGTACACAAACACTGAGATTACAATTATTTATTCATTAATTCATGGAAACACAATATTGCCAAATACATTGTTTCTACAGCAACAATGAAGTACTGAATAAATAAATGCTTTGATTTTATCATCTTTATAAGTTCAAGGACATTAGAAGAAGGTTTGCCTAATACTCAATACAGAAGTGCTTTATATGGAGACTAAAACAGTAACACATTCAAATCCTGACTCAAACTATCAGAGTTTGAAGACATCAAAGTGTGTCTCTCACCTCAGTGGTCTGCTTGCCATTGTAGGACATCTTCTTAATGGCCACCACCTCGTTGGAATAGGAGTTTCGGGCCTGCAGGGAAGCAAAACAGATTTAATTTATACTATTTTTGGCTTTTGCCACTTTTATTCAAAAGGTACAGCAGAAAGCTATTTGTGACCATGGACCACAAAAGTCTTAAGTCGCTGGGGTATATTTGTAGCAACAGCCAAAAATACATTGTATGGTTCAAAATTATTGATTTTTCTTTTATGCCAAAAATCATTAGGATATTAAGTAAAGATCATGTTCCATGAAGATATTTTGTACATTTCCTACTGTAAATATATTAAAACTTAATTTCTGATTAGTAATATGCATTGCTAAAAACTTAATTTGGACAACTTTAAAAAGGTGATTTTCTCAATATTTTTATTTTTTTGCACCCTCAGATTCCAGATTTTCAAATAGCTGTATCTCGGCCAAATATAATCCTATCCTAACAAAAACGTATTTATTCAGCTTTCAGATGATGTATAAATCCCAATTTCGAAAAAATTGACCCTTACGGCTGGTTTTGTGGTCCAGGGTCACATTTAGTACTTCATAAAACTGACAAGAAAAAATAAGCCTCAATATTATCAGTTTCCATTATCGTTCTTATTACACTAATACTTAAAAGCAATATTGGCAATACTGATTTGGTCACATACATATTGTGCGTCTTTAAAAAATGACAGTAAAAAAGTAATATTGTGAAATATAACTACAATTTAAAATAAATAAAAAAAATAATAAAAAGAAATACAATTTTTAAATGTAATTTATTCCTGTGATGGAAAAGCTGAATTTTCAGCATCATTACTCCAGTCTTCAATGTCACATGATCCTTCAGAAATCATTCTAATATGCTGATTTGCTGCTCAAGAAGCATTTATTAGTATTATCAGTGTTGAAAACAGTTGTGATGCTTAATATATATATTTTTGGAAACCATGATACATTTTTTCAAGACTCTTTGATAAACAAAGTTAAAAGAACAGCATTTTGTTTCCTAATGTGTCCTTGCTGAATAAAAGAATCAATTTTACGTATCAATATCAATCTAAACTTCTGAACAGTAGTGTATGTTAAGTCATGAATTTACTGTATTCCTTGACAGAAGTGTGTGTGGCAGACATCAATAATGTCAGTCGCTCTGCATCACAGGGCCAGCTGGCCCTCGCATTTAAACGGAGTGAACATCTGTCTTAAGAGCAGCGTCTCCTAGTTATTCTTTCCCCTTGAGACCAGCCCTACATCTGGATGGGCAGTCCACATGTGAGCGAGTGAGTGTGTGCATGCGAGTGTATTTGAGAAAAAGAGAGAGAACGGTGGATTTGCACAGCGGATTCCAGTCTTGCCACAGATTTGAAATCAAAGGCTTTATGCTATTAGTTCCCAGATTCAGAAATGCACAAGAACTTGTCATGAGGCTGCAGTTCTTGTATTTGACAGAACCGCTGCACTGTAGTGCCGTTTCAAAAATGAAATGACAAGCCCCAAGTTTAACTACAGTTAAAAACTGACTGACAGGGAGAATAAGAGGGAAAAAAAAGCTTCATCGAGCTTAGGTATTAAAAACTATTCTGGTCTCTGACGTCTCAAACTATGTGCCTTTCATCCTCTACAGAACTTGGAAGGAGAAAAATATTACTCGAACTTCGAATAAATAATTCAGTATTTAAAAATAGTTGATAAAAATGATAGCTTGAAAAGTATCAATAGAGGTTGATCGAGATTGCAAATGCATGCAAATGGCACAATGACATCACCACAGTTTCCCCCCACCATGCTAGTACCAGATGTGCTGTAGCTGAAAAAAGACATTTCCTCAACATTTCAATACTCACAAAATACACTGCTCCGAAACTCCCATGGCCGATCTCGTGTAGGTCACAGAAGACTTCTTCTGGGTCATCTTTGAAAAAGAGGTTGGTCAACTCCGGGTCTTTCAGTCCTCCCTTCCGCGTGGACGACGGCATCATGAGTTAGACAGTACCTCTGATGTCCACGTGCTTCTGCTCGCCTTCATTCAGCAGGCCCGGCATTTACCTGCTTTGCCTGTGGACAGAATGGAGCAGATTAAAGACTGACCGCTTGTCCAGGTCAAGTGAGGGTCATCAGCAGACAAAAGTGACTTAAAAGATTAGTCAACCCAAAAGTGCAAGTTCTGTCATCATTTACTCACCCTCACGTCATTCAAACAAACACAACTTTTTCTTATTTGGAAGAAAGAATACGAAATTTTGAACAAATGTTTAATCATATGTAATGCCTTAATGGACCATTTCCCAAGTCTTCTAAACTCTATTCTAAATTTTTGAGTGATAAATGACATTTTAATGAATATTAACATATGAGTCAAGTGGACTAGTTTTGATGCTTTTATAGTGTTTTTTGTTTTACTCATTTTAGAGCTTGACTGTGCCTGCCCTAATCTACTGGCACAATAGTGACCAGCATATTCAGACAAAACTACATATTGTGGTTCAAACTCCCCTTACAGTTTGAACCCACAATCTTAAACTTATTTGACTGCATCTTCAACTATTAGGCTATACAAAACACACCCTCTCACCTCTATGATCCATTTGCCAACCAGTGGGATCAAAATTATTGAGGTAAACCTACAAATAGCTTATTTAAAGTTGTCGTCGAATATTAAACTTGGATAGCAGAAAGAACTTTAACAAAGCAAGCAAGCAGCCTGCTCAAACGCAAAAAAGAAAATGTAAAAATGCAAAATAAATAAATTTGAGCAATAATAATAATAATAATAATAATAATAAATTAAATATAAAATAAAAAATACAAAATATAAAAATTACATAAAAATAAATAACCAAATACAAAAATAAACTTAATTAAAATAAATAAATGATAAAAAAAACAAAATATAAAAATAAACAAACAAATAATACAAAAACAAAACAAACAAAAAAAAAAAACCCCGCAATGCTGTTACTCCAGGAATAATATCTTTTCTCATGCTCATATTGGATCACAATCACATACCAACAATACTGTTATGCTAAATACAGGCCTTTCCCATCCACTAAGGCTATACTGTACTGCATGCTTGAACATGCACACGTGTTTGCGACGGTAAACTAGTGTGACACCAATGTGTTAGCACTGGGGGTAGCTTGGTTAGGCATCATGGGAAGACAGCTCAACGTCTGGCACCATTGCTCATCATGCTAGCATGTGCACACACACTCACACAGCGGCCACCTGCATGTAACACTGCCTACTGAGTCATCAGACATCTGACACACAAGCGGCCATTGACCCAAGAACAAAAGGTGCTGAAAGTACTGTGTATCCAATACAGAGAGACTGAATACATATCCATCTGTACATTCATTATGAATATGATCAGCATTATTACCCAGGCCAGCACATCTACCATTACTACAAAACAACCCCATAGTTGCCCCTAAAATTAGTAATTTAGTAAAAGTAAACTAACAAACAAAGTCAAATAAATAAATAACCCCACAATGCTGTTACTCCAGAAATAATAAACAAAACGGTGTCAGGTGGTTGGAGGTGTATGGAGTTCTTTTTGTCTTTGTGCATCCCAATCAATAAATAAATACACTATAGAAAAGAGAGATGCAAATAAATAAATACATACATAAATGTGAGGCTGAAATGTTTACTGAAATCAGTTGAAAATAAAAGATATTTGAGAGACAAAGCAAGATAAAATGATGGCTGATGAAAGATTATGAAACAAACACTTTTTTTTTTTAAGAATAAGGTGCACTGATAAATCGTGCACAATAAGTCAAGAAGCATTTATATAAATAAGGTCATTTTTGATTTCATGTAACCTTTAAATTGCAACGTTTTCCATTTTTAGTGCCCTCTTTTCCTCAGGCCTGGGAGGGGAGTATACTTTATATTAAACTCAGGTTCACACCATGCAAATCGAACCTAGTGTGAAAACAGCTGTCAATGTCCAGGGTGCAATTCTAAGCTTCAACCCTACAACCTTTTTGTTACTAGCTCTGATCTAAAACCACTACACCAGTGCCACAAGCAAACGCACTGGACACTGGATCCTAAACCTAGAGTAGAATAGTCTTACCCACAATTCAGTTTCATAACCGTAAGTGAGGTCCTTTTAGTCCACTGACCAAGTGTGTGAAATCTTACTACTTCATGCCCTGGACTATCCAATTACTGAATGAATACCGCAGAATACTGACACAAATAAATTAGATTCAAGTCTCAACTGGACGTACATGTAAAACTACTTCTGATTGTGATGGTTAAAGCTTTTAAATGGCATAAAGGTTAATCAGAGTTCACAGGCATTGAACAAAAACATACAGATTTCTGCACAATGCAGTCACAAAACCCATTTGTTCCAGATCATTTATTGGCTTATGGAGAAAAAGACTTAAACTACTAAGGACATGAACTTTCATACTCCATTGAGTGGAGGAAAGACAATCATCTTGCAGGCTTCTACCCACACTGCACTCGTCCTGTGTCCACTATTATATAATGCCTGCTATGGTTTAGTTTGTCTATCACTGGTGAGTTAATGATTTTCTGTATTTTTAACTTTCCTCAAGATCCGGTCCAAAAGAACAATGTATATGTTCATTTATTAATCTTCTTTAAAAGAGCCAAAGAAGAACCAGTGTTTTGAGTCAAAGTCTTTTCTAGTTGCTCGTTTAGAGTTACTGAAGCCGTTACTGTACAGAGGTTGTTTAGGCTTTATAGTAACAGGAGTTGACGTGAGTCAGCTGAAGTTGCATAAAGAAGAAAACTACCGCTGTGCCACACAGAAGCCATTCGGTCTTCTTTTATGACCAGTACAGGAGATTACAGTTTAGTTACAGTAAATGTGACTTCATTGAACCCTTGCATAATGGACATTTAAAGCAACATTTAAAGGGATAGTTCGAAAATGAAAATTCTGTCATTATTTACTCACCCTTGTTCGTTATGGAACGTAAAATTAAATATTTTGACACTGTTTTTTGTCCATATTTAATAAGAGTCAGTGGGCTCCAATGTTGCTTGTTTCCCAACAAGCTTCAAAATATATTTTGTGTTCCACAGAATAAAGAAAGTCATATAGGTTTGGAACAATGTGAAGTTAAGTAAATTATGAAAGAATTGTCAATTTGGAGTGAACTATCCCTGTGCTAGGTTGAAGATAAACATTGGTGACATGCTGTCAATAACCACCAAAAATAAATTTGACTCAATATATATATTAGGGGTGCCCCGATTGATCGGCTACCGATCACTATCGGCCGATAATCACGATGGGATGATTGATCGGCGGTCTCTAAAAGGCCAATCTCAAAAAAAAACGATCTCAAGCTGATGACACTGCCGTCAGAAGGTTTGGCACGACATGCAGCGTCACCGTCTCAGTCTCTGTCCGGCACGGGTAAAATAATTATAATGCTGAAGGTGAGGTACTCACCTTCATATTTCTTCATTAAATAACTTATAAAGTAATTTGAAAACCTTGTGTGAGACATAATTTCACAAACAGCGTGAGTGAATCACCGCGCATGCTTTCTCTTTCTCTTTCAAATACGCAAATGGCTTCAAATCACCACATCACATCTATCTATAAGCGAGCTGCACGCTACACAGTTGACACAGGAATTGTCACTTGCACAATCGAGGCAGTGTCACAACGTCACTAAAGTTTATAAATTGCATTACTTTTTTAATTCTTTCCAGTGTTTAACCATTCAGCGCCCGCGCGCTCTCCTGGTGCACACTCGCAGCGCACACACATAATGCCAGGTTCACATTACTCTGTTTGCAGTGCGTATATTTTCCTTGCTCATGTTAACGGATTAATAAAGCGGTCACACTGCACACGGTTGCGGTCCGGCAGTGCGTTCAGGAGCGGTGTGTTTGCAGCAGAGCAGAGATTGTTTCCGCACCGAGTCTATGTTTGCTGCGCTGCAAGCGCTGAATTAAAGTAACAGCGCATTGTTTGCAGTAAATATGAACATGGATTGACACGAAAATGTAGTAATTAAACCATAAATGCATATTATTAAACACATATGTGACCCTGACCACAAAACCAGTCAAAAGGGTCAATTTTTTGAAATTGAGATTTATACATAATCTGAAAGCTTTCCATTGATGTATTGTTAGGATAGGACAATATTTGGCCGAGATACAACTATTTGAATAGCTGGAATCTGAGGGTGCAAAAAAATCTAAATAGTGAGAAAATCACCTTTAAAGTTGTCCAAATGAAGTCCTTAGCAATGCACATTACTAATCAAAAATGAAGTTTTGATATATTTATGCTAGGAAATTTACAAAATATCTTCATGGAACATGATCTTTACTTAAAGGTGCAATAGGTGTTTGTCTTCAGAAACATTTTTTGTTATGCTGGTTGAAAGTCTCTTCACATCATGATAGCAATCATTAAGTTAAGTGGTCTAAATGTGTTTATCTGTATTTATATATTCTGTGGAAAAAAAATTAAATTCAGGCCCTCAATAAATGTCTAAAAATCCTGATTGGAGTATCACTATAAATAGTTATAAATGATAAAAAGAAGGCTTTAAAAAGATCGGTATCGGTAGATACTGCTTTCTGTGATCGGCCTCAAAAATCCTGATCGGAGCACCCCTAATATACACATACACCAAGATGCCATTAAAATGTTCAAAATGTGTTTGGATTTATTAGGCAAAAAGAAATGTGCATACAATGTAAATACATTGTATTGTGAATACAGTACAACGTAAACACAAATGCATAAAATCCTAGATGAACATCAAAAGTCATGTCACCAAATCTGCTCAGATCACCTCTCACTGCTCTAATGCTCCCAGTCCCAAACATCAGATATCTGCTGCCAATTGCTAGCAAACAAAGTGTGTCAAAATGTTTTGTCTGTGCCATCTAAATTTGACATTTAATAAAAAAAGAGAACTATACAGTATAAATAAAATAGATTCCTATATTAATTTATTTCTAAACTATATAAATCAAATTTTATTTATTAAGTAAGTTTTATTTATAGAGCACATTTAAAATTCAGCGTTACA